ATATTAAATATTTTTTATAAAATATTAAAATTAATTTATATATTAATAATTTTTAACTTAATAATTAAATTATTAAAATTTAATATAAAATATAAATAAAATAAATTTATTAAAACTTACTCTTAAAATCAATTTATCCATCCTCTATGAGACATATAAATTTATATAGAGGATATTCTATTATATTTTATACAGTATTTTGAAAATTAGAACCGAACTCAAGGACTTTATCGCAAGATTTCATAATTCTATCGTAATACAACGAGGAACGGAGTAATGATATTTAAATATATATTTTGAATACTGTGTAATAAATTGTTTTTATACTTTTGTGTTAATTTTTCTTCTAATACTGACTATTTGAAGGGAGGAAAGAAAAAATTAGATCGACTTTTATACAACATTTTTAAAAGGAAATTTTCATTCTTGTAAAATTTGCCAAATTCGTTTTTTGTTTTTAATTTCTTTCGTCTTGATTTAGTGTCTCAAATACAAAATGTTTTTTTACTAATAAAAAATACAAAATATCTTTTATTCAAGTATTACTTTTGTTCTTATTTATACCATCTAATTTAAAATAATTATTTATTTTTTATATATATAATGTAACGACCCACCTGGTCAATACACACAGCACAGCACACTAGAATATTACACAGAAACGAACAAGTATATACATATAGGATCTAAAATATATATATATATATACAAGATCCAAATCCGTCTAGAATCAGAGTGTACAAAATATATCAAGCAAATGCTAACTAAGTAGCTAAATACATCAAAAGAATAAAAACTCCATCTGCCAGCTACAGACCCTCCTCAGCAAACACCAACCTAACCCTGCCCTGCTCCCATACATAGTATGATCATCGCAGTCCAAACTACATGGAAACAAGAAAGGGTAAGCTAGTGAAAAGAAACAACATACATATATAAATATTTGGATAGTAAACATCTACAGCTATCAGCACATCAATCAGCTTAACAAAAACAGCTTAAAATACCACAACATTCAGCAATAACAGCACCGACTTAACGGCTATAACAGCACCACATTAGTGGCTATAATAGCACTGACATAGCGGCAATAACATCATCACAATAGTGACAATAACAGTACCGACATAACGGCTATAACAGCACCACAATAGTGGCTATAAAGCATAAACAACAATAAAACATACAATGCGTCGTCACGCATATCAGCTCAGAGATCTCCTACAACAGCTCAGCCTTACGGCCTACAACAATTTATATCAGCATACAGCACAGCACAACTTACAGCAATATCAACTTACAGCACGGCTAAACAGCTTACAACACAGCATTATTGTCTTACAGCACATCTAAACAACTCACAACACAACAATATACATCAAATACAACTTAAATCAGCATACAGCACAGCTCAGCTTAACATCTAAACACAGCTCACAGCACAGCCAAAACATCCTTAATCAGCAATAACATCTAACAGCACGGCATATTCATCAATTTCAGCTCAGTTCAGCATATATCTACATTTTGTCAGCAAATTTCAACACATAAAATCATCATCTCATCCGCGCGCGCCCGGCGCACTGATGATCGCGCCCGGCGTGGCACAACTAGAGAGCACCAAGGATCATCGCGCCCGACGCAATTCCTATTGTGCCCGACGTGATAGGAGGCAGAGACCTCACAAGGTCTCATAAGCCCGGCGTGCAAACCCGCGCTCGACGCAGGGTAAGTAGAGACCTTCCCAGGGTCTCACGCCCGACGCAATATAAATTGTGCCCGGCGCCACCTCTGGCAGAGACTTCCAAGGAGTCTTTACGCCCGGCGAGACCAAGTCACGCCCGGCGTCACACTATAATCACCAATCAACCTAAGCACCTAAAACAACTTTCAACTTAACCAAATCACTAACTGTGAAATGGCAACCTTCACATAAAACAACGTATCAGGAGTTATACTACTCCTACCATGCTCATCATTATCTCATATGAAAGATAAGAAGATTTCCTACAAATCTCATGAAGACACCAAGTCTTAATTCCTTCATCTACCTTGTTAAAAATTCTAAAAACCGCAACAGCTATAACCAATGCTGGCAGCTTAACCCCTCTTCACTAAAACAGCCATATATGGAGTTATAGAACTCCTTTTTGGGTGATTCTAGCGCCATTGGAAAGCTAACATCCAAGGCTACAACTTTCATGGAGACTATAAAGTCAAATTCTGAAAGAAAAACGCACGCCAGGCTCATTAAAATCACGCCCGGCGCAATACTCGACGAGAGACCTACAGAGGTCTATTGCGCCCGGCGCAATTATCCTGCGCCCGACGCAGTATCAGTAACAAAAACATAAGATTCACGTCTGATAGTGCGCCCGACGTGGTTCTCCCCACGCCCGGCGTGATTCACCCAGGGATTCCCCATTTCAAATCACGCCCAGCGCGAAGAACTACGCCCGGTGCAATTTCAAACAGTAACCCACACCACTTCGAAGATTTCACCCAAAACTTGCAAAAATTAACATCCCCGGCACATGCAATCGGCCCAAAACATCACATTTTCATCCAACAACCCGAAAATACCAGCTTTTTCAACATGCAGGCATCAATCATCAAAAACCCCAAATTTTTCATCAAAACCCCGAAACCCCGAAAACCCATTTTCCTCAACAACAGCCAACAATAATCAAATCATCAAACCATCAATGAGTTCTAAGCTCAAATTCGTACAGCTAGCATGAATCCTAGCTTCCCTTACCTAGGTGAGACGATTCCGAGCTCCGGGAAGAGAAAGACAATGAAGAAGAAGAAAAGAGCTTGAACGAGCGGAGAAGAGAGACGACTTCAGCTAGCTTCCACACTCACTCAGCTCTTAAGATCACCACAACCACCAAAGAATCAGAGAAATGAGACCAAGGACAAGGAGAGAAAACTCGAGCAAAGAGAGAGTGAGAATGAGTCAAGTGAGGAAAAGGAGAAAAAGAGGGAAAAGGGAGGCTACGGGGGGTCTTACATATAAGACTTAGTTTATAGTATTTGATGTATTACTTAGACTAAAATACACATAATTAAAATATATTTTCTTAATTTAATAAAATATATTTATTATAAATTATTTAAAAAAGTATTTGAATTAGTTAGAAGAGTGAACAATATTAATTATAAGAGAAAAATAGTGTAAAGTACATATTTTAATTAGTTAAGAGAAGAGTAAGTATTAATTAAGAGAAAAATGCGGTACAAGAATAATTTAAAATATATATATAAAAATAAAACATTTCCTTTGTTCATCACTTGAATTTTTTTCTTTAATTAAAAGTTTCATTTAAAATATTTCCTTTGTTCATCATTTTTTTTTCATTTTGTTTAATAATACTCTATATATCCTACAATGATTAAAATTTAAAGTTTTTACACTTAAATTAAGGATATATATATATATATATATATATATATATATTAATTTTTAAATATAATTTTATTAAAATTGTCCACTCTACCAAAATATAATTAATATCACATTAAAAACTAAAAATATTATTCATTTTAAAATATTTTTCAAATATTAAAACAACTATAATCATTATGGAAAGAAAAGATAATACTTAACATGATTTATATTGTTTTATTTTTTAAATGAATAATTTTAAGAAAATAATCGAAATAATTATTTTAATATAAATATAATAATATTTATTGTTTTAAAATTAAACAAAGAGATATATTTATTAATAACGCACTTTTAATTTTAAAAATATTATTTAAAAACTTTAATTATCTTTGTTACTATCTTAATAAAAAACTATAATTTTCATTATATTTTTTTCAATTTTTTGTTTTACCTATTCTCCTCTTTTCCCTTCAAATCCTTTTCGTCTTTCGAAGTCCAAACAAAACACAAAAGTATTTTATGAACAGTTTCCATACTTTAATAATATATCGTGAACAAGTTAACAACAAGGAGTAACTTATAGAGTTGTCGTTCTTATATTCATCCTTAAACTTTGAATAAAATAAAATATCATGTTGAACATGAGTTTTGAAAAGTTTTATCATTGAAAAAAATTATATATTTAATTTGCACTAAATATATATATATATATATATATATATATATATATCTTATTTTATAGACTATCCACGTCGGTGCATAGTCACTAAATTCATCAATTTAACGGTTCAATTAATAATAATTTTCTCAAGCAGAAAAAAAAAAGAAAAGAAAAAACTCAGGAACTCCACACCTTAACTAATTCTATTAAAAAAAAGGCCAATAATGTGATAAGGAGAAGTCAAAGAAGGAGGAGAGAAAAATAAAGAGAATGAGCAATGAAAGTGGGAGTGAGAAACGAAGAACACGACAGACACATTTGAGTCCAAGTCCAACGATGTCGAGTGGTGGAAACCTGAGTTGCGTGTTGGTGTCCGTTGATGGCAGCGAGGAAAGCATGAACGCGCTGCGTTGGGCATTCACCAACCTCAAGCTCCGATCCCCTGCGCCCGATTCCACCCATCCTCCTTCTTTCGTCATCTTCCACGTTCAATCTCCGCCCTCCATCGCCACCGGCCTCAATCCCGGTGCTATCCCCTTCGGTGGCCCCAGTACACTCCATTTTCCCATCTTTTTTACCCTTCTCTTCTATTCCATTTTTGAGTCCAACAAGTTAAACTCTGTTTTGTTCTTTGATTTTACTAGGTGACATCGAAGTTCCTGCTTTCACTGCCGCCATCGAAGCGCACCAGAAACGCATCACCAACGCAGTAATCAATCATGCCTTGGAAATATGCTCCGAATTCAACGTCACCGTGCGTTTTCCTTTCCTTTTTTTTTTTTTTTGTACTTTTTGGGTATTTGAAACAGAATTTGGCTGTGGCTTTGACTAGTTTCTTATATCATGGCCAACCATGATTTGAATCTTTCTTAGGAGATGTATCTGGGCTTATTCTTCAAAAGAAAATATTTTTTGAACAGTATAGAAATTAAATTTTAGCTTTGCTAAGGAGCTTTAGCTGGGAATATAGTGTGTTTGAAAACTCACAAAATCATGTTGAATGAAAAAGACAGAAAATGTTACTTCTTTGGTTTGGTGGTTTGGAATGTGTATTTTTTCCATTCAAAGAATCTCAATAATAAAACAAACATGTCCATAGTATGAAAATTGTAAAGCTCATTGTTGGTACTATTGGTTCGACACAACAAGTACCTACCTTCAATCCTTGACTTGGACATAAAGTCACCACTAGTGAGACCGCTTTACTACAACTGAAAAGGGAGTCACTCCTCCTTGTCAAAAAAAAAAAACATATGAAAATTGCTCGTAAGTTTTAGGGCGTATTTGGGAATGAGTGGTTTTTGAGAAGGGTGGACAATTTTTTTAATTTTAAATCAAGGGAATCATACAATATTTATGAAAATAAATGTAATATTACGGCATTAAATTTATGTTAGTTTCTTATTTAAAAAATTATTTATTTATTTTTCCTTCAAATTGTTGTTAGAGTGGGATGCTACTTTTTTTGTGCAAGTGTTCCATTTCAAGTTGTTGTCAGATGTCAACTACTGTAGTTGATTTGTCTCTATATCTATGGCAGAGTAAGGTCAGATCCCATGTCGTTGTTGGAGATCCAAAGGAGAAGATTTGTGAAGCCGTGCAGGATTTGCATGCTGATGTGCTTGTGATGGGGTGTCGTTCATTTGGCCCCATTAAAAGGTACAAATTAACTAGTGACAAATCTTGATAATTGCCAGAAACTAGCGAAAAATCTTGATACATAAATTTGCACCCTCACACAGACTCACACTTTACCTTAGTAAGCCTGATTTGGACAGCATATATCACAAAAAATACTTAATAAACAATCTCCGCGATTATTCCCTTTTTTGAGAATGTTAACAAGTGCTAGGACATCTGTGGACCTATTGTTCTACTGGGGAAGTGTTATAGTACTGATGTGAATACAAACCCGAAACATGGACATAAAGTTATAAAGGCCTTCAATACACAACCAACTTCTTAACCTTTAATTTATTATTATTTTTCTTTATCTATAGTCATTTATCTCCAGAGACAGATAGATCTTCTATTTTCATTTTGGACATTAGACCAAATGTCTACATCATACTTAGTTGCATCAAACCCTGTGTTATATATGTATATATATATAACCCTTTTGTTAAGTTGATTTTGAAAGGGGAAATTCTGTGGACAGAAGGCCACTCATAATGTCTTATTCTTTTGACTTGCAGGATGTTCCTGGGAAGTGTTAGCAATTACTGTGCCCACAATGCTCCTTGCCCAGTCATTATTATCAAGGGAAATGACTGTGTCGTTAAGAAAAATTGATGCACTTCTACTATGCTATCATGACTCTTGATCAGTAGGTCTGGCTTCATTTTTATGTTGCACCCCTTAGATTGTTTAGGATTTGAGAGAAGAGTATGATATTTGATTTTGGTACAAGAACTGAGGGGTCTGTCTTTCTTTCTTTATTAATCAATCTAATTAGTGTGGAAAGCGGATAGCAATCTTGACTTCTTAGGGCTTATATAATTTGATAACTACCCTCCGTGGTTGAACTTTTAAATCTCAATATTTGCAGCTAATTGCTGATTTTGGCTGTTAGGGCACTCGTGTAATCTACATAAAGGAAAGTTGTCATGGATCACATATGACAGTGACACAGTGTGAAAGGACATCCCAAATAGGATTAGAAGTTGGAGTAAAAATATGGCTTGGAATCTGTAATCATTATGAATTTCTGAGTGATATTGCTAAGTAATATATTTTGTTTTGTCTTTTGTTTATTCATTTTATATAAGTTATATGACAGAAAGTGATTTATCTAAGGAATGATTTGATTTAAATTACGGTTTCTATCAAATAAAGGAAGGTGTCTGAAGGACAGAATATATCGCTTTTGCTTTCTAAACAAGTTTTCTTCTAGTTTCCCTAGTTGCTAACAGGAAGACTTGCCATCCTTGGTTGTGTTTTGATCTCTTTGTCCATAGTTTTTTTTCTCATTATTTGTCTTGTGTGCTACAGAGCATACTTCAATCAGAATCAACTCATAGATCATGTTTCTGGCTCTCATACACACAATGGATAGACAATACATACATAACTTGATGCTCAAGATCTATTCATCTCACTCTCATAATAAGTCACGCCTCACATTGATATGCACATAATGCACTGATATATATACATGGATATTTCGTACCCGTATTTTTTCATGTGGATGGTATTATCCTTAGCAACTAGCAGTTGCAATTTAATCATGTATCCCAGTTAATTAAAATTTAAAATACAAAAACAACTTGGTGTATTTTATTTTTGAAGTGGGGCATTTGATATTTACCTTCGATGTAGTTGCCTTTTATATTTTCTAGAACTCTTGCTACAGCAGAATCTTGCCGGCACTCACAATTTACAAAGTAGTGGGGTTCTGAAACAATTTCAATTTCATTTTTTAGGTTCTTTAGATGGGTTGCCAGTGCCACATTTCAGTTGCTGATGCCGCATCCTTGGTTGCCAAATTAATCAAGTCAAAGGCTTTATCGTCTTGGGATTTGCTTGCTTTGCTAGACCAGTGTTGTACCTCAGATTTGAAGCTTAAGTCTTTTTGTTGTGTAAATTGCTGGCCAGATCCTGCTACAAGTGCTGCTGCTGTGCGTGTGAAATTGTTGCCGTTAAGTGCTTTACAACTGTGCTATTACAACTTCAATTGTTGTCCCAAATGGTTCAAAGAGATATTTGACTCCAGAAGGTTTGTATTCGTGTTGAATTTATACAATGTTGTACACAAATGTCTCCTTACTACTGCCCCTTGGTCAGAGCCAGTTCTAATTGTGATATGCGATAAATTGGCCATTTGTCATGTACAAGTTTTCAAATTGAGAATGCAGCTAGTGTTGGCGGCAGCCTGCAGTGTGCCTTGCATTATCGACAGTGGTGAAGATTTTTCACTTTTGACAAGCAAACCAAGTTTCTTTGTAGTAATTTGATAGCGTTCTCAGGAATTTGATGATAGTAGTAATTTCCGATCTTATTTAAAGAGAACATGGATGAAATATTATGAAATATTAATTTAAATTTATAATAAAGCAAATAAAAGCAATGGTACAAATTTAATAGAAAACTTTATATGAGAAAGAGATTGGACTCAAATGTACTTTCTCACTCATTTAATCTTCATCAAATAAATATGATTCCAATTCTATTACTTTCACGTCCATTAATTAACTCAACTAGATTCCTCAAAATTGAGTACTAAAGTGATTAATCTTAAACATGATTCCTCTATGATTTTAAGATTAATACCTTGTATTAAGAACGATAACTTGAATAAAAATGGCTAACAAAATCAAGTATATTCCTAGAACAAGAGATTGTTAGGTGAATGATTCAATTTAGGCTTCTGAAAACGTTTTCCAATAAAGTTCAAAAATCAAATATCATAAAACAGGTGATCAAATCGAATTAAGCATTAGAAGAAGAATCAAACACAAGCAATAGAATTGAATATCATATAGATCTAAGAAGAAATAGAGTTAGTAGTTACACTGAATACAATCCAAGAGAAACTAGTCGCTTATGGTGAGAGTCATAACAAATAAAAAGATGAGATTATACAATCAAAGAGAAGAAATGAAGATGAGTCTTTGTTCTCAAGAAATCCAATCTTCAAATATGATCTTCACACTCTACTGTTCTCCCAGAGTTTCTTTCTCTATTTTTCTTTCATTCCTTTCATCCCCTTTCTCTCTCTTTCTTTAATCCCTTAAATTTGTTCTGCCCAAAATAGGGGAAAATTGGGATTTTTAACCCAAGGCTGCAACTCTGGATGTGTGGCTACGACTCTAGAAAGTACTTCAAGACAAAGGAAGCTCCAAAGCTACAGCTCTGGAATGGAGGCTGTAGCTTTGAAATTCTGGATTGCCCAGAATGTTCTATTTCCCAAGGCATGAGCTTTGACTTCATGGCTAAAGCTTCAACTCTCTAAAATACTTCTTTTTGGTTCAAGCTTTGTGGTTGCATCTTTGGCTTTGGAGCTATAGCCTTAACTCTCTAGAACACTTCGTTTTGGTTCAGGTTCTGTGGCTGCAGCTTTGACTTTGGAGCTATAGCCTTGGGTTTTCAACTTTATCAAAATCTACACAAGAGAAATATTTTCAATCAAAGAAAATTACACTCTTGTAACTCCTTAGATTAATCTTAATTTATCTATTTAGGGGTCAAATACAACCAAAATTACTTACATCTCTCCCAAAAAGAGTGCCAAATCAAGGATAAAAACATGTAATTTGAGCACTTATCAATAGGGATGGCAAATATACCCGTACCCGCGGGTAATACCCGAACCCGTCCCGACTTTGACGGGGAATACCCGGTTTGACCGGGTACGGGTACGGGTACGGGTAAAACCCGATATATTAAATCGGGTACGGGTACGGGTACGAGTATGTACTTACCCGCCCCGTAC